AGTTAAAAATCTGTTGGATTTATGGCATCATCTCCACCCCCAGGCCGAGGTCAAGACGCCCAAAAACATCTCACTTGCGCGACAGTTCTATGAAGTGTGTAGTCTGTAGATGAGAAAGGTTTAGACAGGCTATGTGAGACCTGCTGAAAGTTACACAGTTGCCAGGCAGCAGAGCTAGAAGATGCTCCTTCTGTTTGACCTCTCCCTGATGTATTGAACAAGTTGTTCCAGACACCTGTTCCAGGCTTGGCCACATGTTGGGACTGAAGACACAGAGACACTGGAGGACAAAGTCCTCAAGGTTTTCAAGGAGACACAGACTGCTGGTCTCCTGACCCTGTGCAGGTTGGAGCCCTGCAGTATCAGGCCCTCTCTAGTTCCTTCCCCCAGCCCTGCTGCCACTCAGGGCTGCAGAACTCCAGACCAGACATGCTTCCTGAGGCTGCTGTTTTCCTTGGCCCCTGAGATGGGAGACAGTGTGCCCGACCCGGTGGAAAACAAGACATGGGATGGGGGAGGCAAGGGGAGAGCAGTCCCTGCTCTCACCCCTACAACCTGTCTCTAGACGGTGGAAGCAGAGAGCAGAGGGGCTACCTTTCCATCCAACCACCAGCCCATCCAAGCCATTGTTCCCTTGTTGTGACAGAGGGTTTGTCAGAGGCCCATGGACAGGACTGAGGGTTTCCTCCACAGCTCTCCCTGCTTGGACAGCTGGAGGAAACATGCGTCCAGTGAGCCAGCTCTCTATTCCAACAATAACAGGCTGCCTGCCCCACTGGTAGGCCCACTGTGGGGGGGTTGGAGGGAGCCTGGAGCCAGAGAGGCCACCTCACTCCACCCTGCCACTGACAAAACATGCTTTCTTGTTTTCTAAGGGGGCAGGGGTGGCTGGTACCCATCCTGATCAAATATGGTGCTGATAAGCGCAAAAGGGCCAGGCCGGCAGGCTAGCAGCTCGGGCTGCATTCCTGGACTGAGTCAGGTTGACCCTCGGGGTCACACAGACCAGCCTGCCAGGTCTGGGAGTCTGGGCAACGTAACAGAGAGTTCAAACCCAAGTTCTCTTTTCACTGAGAAGACCCCAGGCTTGCTGAATGGAACTGCAGAACTCAGCAACACAGTGGGTTTGGGAGCTGGGACGCTCTACTGGGCACCTGCTCTGCCCTCCGTCCCTCTCTGTGTTCTGGAGAAAATGAGAAATAAAGACTGCTGTTCATTGTCTTTGAAGAAACCGGTTCAGGGAAACTATATGACTTATTCACGGACAAACAGCAATAAGATTATAAATTCATTGTCCTTGTCAATTCTGACCCTGTCCAGAAAACACTCATATCCTCTGGGTCCCCTCTGCCTTCTAACTCCTCTGAGGAAAAGTACTTTATTCTTTCCGAGACTGGTCTCATTTAGCCCAGGCTGGTCTCAAATTGCCTTTGTGACTGAGATAACCTGAATCATTCTTAATCCCCCTGCCTCCACCTTCCCAGTGTATATACCACCATGCCCAATGTATACAGTGCTGAACCAAACAGGGCCTCCCCGTGCTAGGCAAGCACTCTAGCAACTAAGCTATGTCCCCAGGCCCTGAGGAGAGGTGTTGATATAATGGCCAGCAGGCGTGCACTCAGCGTGCAAACCCCCTTTGCCATGTCTTCCTCTAAGTGGGGGACTTTGGGGTAAACTAGAGGCCCAGTGGCTACCAGCTCGGGGCTGACTGGGCAAGCAAGCACTAAGTGCTCTGCTAAGGCCACTCCTGTGTGTCGCTACACAAACCCAGAGCAACTCTAACAGCCAAATTCACAGGGCAAACTGTGCTGCTTTCACATCTTTGGTGAGAAGAAAATGGGTATCCAGATTGCTGGAGGTGTCTAGCAGAAGCTGGAGTTGGGGGCTGTGGTCTGCCTGTGTGCCCCCACTGATGGGTGTCCTGTATATACTGGAGTGGGGGTGGGAGACACGAGGCCCAGATGTGGGCGGTGGGGGAAGCAAGGATAAGGGACTTTTGGAAGGATGAGAAGACTGACTCAGTCTCCTTCTCACCACTCACAGAGAGACCTTGGTGCTCAAGCTTGTGCCCCCCCATGAGCAGTCTCACCTCGCCCCTCAGTGCAGCCCTGTACCACCCGCCCACTCTGTAAGTGCTGCAGAGTTTAGGAACCCATCCCAGTGTGGGATGCTGCCTCAAAAATCTGCCCTCCACATATTTCCCAAAGCACCCACATTCTGAGCTGACATCAGAACTGATTCCCAGGGCTGGCAAGTTGGCTCAGTGGGTAGAGAGCTTGCTACACAAGTTTGATCCTCAGAACTCACCGAGAGAGAGGAGGAGAGAAGCAACTCCACGAAGTCGTCCTCTGACCTCCACACCCGTGCGGTGGCACACGCACGCCTTCCCCCGCCCCTGACATCATACGCAATAAGAATACATAGAATTAAATTGTAAGAAAAATTTGAAAGAGCTGCTTCTATGGTGGATCTGGTGGTGCAGCCCTAAAATCTCAGCTACTTGGGAGACTGGGACAGGAGGATTACAAGTTCAAGGCCTGGCTGGGCTGTAGGCTAAGTTCAAGGCCAGCCTAGGAAACTTACCTATCTCAGATCGAAAAAATATTGAAACCTCAGTAAATGAATCCTTGTGGCAGAGAATTTACTGTGTATAAGACCCTAGATTCAATCCTCAGTACTGAAACAAACCCAAAAATCCACCAGCGCACATAGTGATCCCGGAAGGTAAGACCCCAGGAACCAAGGATCTTAAGTCAGAGCCGGTTTGAGATCTATTCCATGGACTGATTCTCTGGTCACCGGGTATCGAGCCTGAACCCCTTGCTTTCAAACTGAACAAACCTCCCCACCCTGCTGTCTGATTCCAGGCCCTCACTCATCTTCCCTCACCATCTGAAGCTCTATTTTTGTTCTGTCCTTATCCAACCACACACCTGCTTCCTGTCCCTAAGGTCCTGGCCTGAGAATCCAGTCCAGAGAGGCCTGGCCTCCTGCGGTCTAGCTGTGGACTGAACTCTCCGTATGGGCAGCCAGCACGGCCCCCAAGGGAGCCCTGGAAGGTGACTTCTCACCTGTGCTGCGTGCCATCAATCCAACTTTGAACCTGTGAGGAAATCCCCAGCTAGGAGACCTGGCACTTAGTGTACAGCAATCTGAAGTTATACATGGCTTGGCTTCTAGATTTACTGTCTGCCCCCACCCCTTGGCTGGAAATTAATTTCAGATCAGCAGAATCGTGATCCAGCTTACCCCTCTCCAACACTGCCACCCCCAGGACCGACAACAGAGCCTGGAGCATGGCGGCTGTCAGTTGGATGAAGAAATCAGTGAGGTTTTTTCAGCCCACAGTTGGTCCCCCAGGCACAGACCCGTGTGGGGCCTGGACCTGAGGACCCTCAGTGTCTGAGTACACTGGCCCTTAAGCTGCTACAGGCTCTGATCTCCAAATCCTTCTGTATTCAGCTGCCTTCAGTCCTTTGTTCCCACGGAACCTGAGCCTTTCCCCACCTGGGAAACCAAGCAGGGACCTCAGGGATGGAAATGAAAAGCATGGGAGAACAGGGTTACCACATGAAAGGTCCTGCCAGCCACGTGGTGGTGGGGAGCAAGGGGGTTAGGGGTTCGGTGCACAGGACATGACCCAGACAGATGAAGAAGAGCCCCGATATGATGACTCACACAGAAAACCCAGCTGACAAAATTTGAGAAAAAAAAATACTCAAAAATGTTTAATTACTTTATTTAAAAATATTTATTTTTATTTTAAGTGTATGAGTGTTTTGTTTTGTTTTACCTACATGTATGTCTACCATGTGTTTGTCTGGTGCCCTTGAAAGCCAGAAGAGGCCATTGGATCCCCTGGAACTAGAGTTACAGATGATTGAGTGGGAGCTGGGAATGGAACTTGGGTCCTTGTAAGAGCAGCAACTACTCTTGACTGCTGAGTCATCTCTCCAGCACATCACATAAAAATTATTTTATTCTTAATTACGTGTGTGTGCATGCGTGCGTGCGCGTGCGTGCGCGTGTGTGTGTGTGTGTGTGTGTGTGTGTACATAGTTTCAGGTGCTCATGGAGTCCAGAAGACAGCACTGAGCTCCCTGGAGCTGGACTTGGACTTGAAACAGTTGTGGGCCCCCAATGTTGATGCTAGGAGCTAAATCCTGCTCCTCTGTAAGCGCTCTTACCCAGTGAGTCACGAGGCCCCTTTTCAACAACAGGCACTACCAGGTTTAAAGAACAGTAAGAAACACTGGCTGCCAAGCTTGGAGCACACACCCCTCATCCCTGCACCTGAGAGGTAGAGGCAGAGGGATTAGGAGTGTAGGGTCATCTTCAGATACATAGAGAGTTCAAGGCTAGCCTGAGCTACACAAGACCTTGTCTTGAGAGATGTAAGAAGACTGATAATGAGATCAGAGTAAAGCAAGAATTGAATCATTCAGAGGTACCTGTAGTTTTTATGTATGTCACAGAGGGAACCCTCCTGAGAACACTAGAAGAGAGTCCATTGTGGTAGAGGTGACTGAGGCAAAAATAGTACAGTGTTCTTTCCTGCTTATTATGGCGGGTTGAGACTTGTGAAAGGCTGGAGGACAGTGAGTTTGAATAGGGTAAGAAGGATGTACAGGTTCAGGCAGATTTCTCTTCTTGAACATCTAACTTTGCTTCCTTGTCTAACCTTGTCACCAGCCTTTGATAAGGAATCCACATGCACGAACAACTTTGATGTATTTTTACTTTGGGATTTGACCCAAAGAAGCACCAGTAGATCTCAAGTTGTGGGCCTCAGCAGCCTGAAGATCACATATGAGAACCTGAGCATGTGTGCAGGGAGTATCAGGTAGCTTAGGTGGGTGGGTGGTAGTAATTGGGGTATGGAATTAGATTTTCTGATTTTGAATTTTTTTTCAGTAAAGAGAAATTTTTGATACGATATTTTCATTTCAGAAACAAATAAACACATATAGAAGAGCAGATTAAAATTAGCCTGTTTGGTGCTGGCATTGGCAGCACATATAACAAGACTGAAACAACACAGAGATTAGCGTGGCCTCTGTGCAGAAATGACATGCAAATCTGTGAAGCATTCTATATTTAAAAAGGCAAAGGCATTTGCTGCCAAGCCTGATGGACTGAACTCAATCCCAGGACCCACATGATAGGAGAGAACTGACCCCTGAAAGTTGTCCTCTGACCTTTACAAGGGTGCCATGACAGACACACATATGCACACAGGTGCACACACAAATAAATAAATAAATAAATAAATAAATAAATGCTATTTTAAAACAAAATGCATATTAAGAGGATTTTAACAATTGTCTGGGAAAACACTCCCAAAACATTGAGGCTCACTTCAAGCCTTACAAAGGTCCCAGAGGAATACAGACAGAACTTAGGTCTGCACAGCGCTCAGACTGAGAAGTGCAGTTCTGACCACTGCCATTCATAATAGATTGTGCTACTGACCCTGATTCCTCATCCTTCCCTGTCCACAGCCTTTGTCATCTGATTCCGTGGCTTTCCCCACTTACAAGGTGGCATCTGTATGCCCCCCTCTTGTGGTCTGCTCTGTCCAACAAGGTGCAAAAGAGATAACTAGATACTAATTCTAAGTCAAGATCTGCAGAGGCCTTCACGTCTGTGGCTGCCCTGCTTCTAACCCTACCAAGATCACAAACTTGGGTTCACCTGTAAGATGCAAAATAAGTGGCCATGCCATCATCCTGGCTGAAATGGTCTAGATCTGTCAACAACCAAGCAACCAGCAGACCTATAAAGATCCCATCCAAAGTCAACAGTGCCATTTAGTCAAGCTAAGTCACCCCGGGCCCATGAGCCATAAATCTCTCCTGATGTATATCGCTGAGATTGTGTGCTTCTTACACAGCCGAAGCTGACGGATACACTCTGCAGAAGCTGACGGATACACTCTGCAGAAGCTGACGGATACACTCTGCAGAAGCTGACGGATACACTCTGCAGGCAACTCTTGGGTTAATTCGTCCTAGCTTCATTCCTCACAGTTGCCCATCATCTACTCAGACTGTAACCTCCACCAACAGGAACATTATCGCCCAAGACAGACAGACCATTTAAAAAATTGTCCATATTTTAAGTCTAAATTCTCTGTGTACGTCGACACCAAGAATGAACTGGTCCAGTCTACCCACACCTATCTTTGTGTCCATGTAAACATTCACTGAGCCTTTCTAGTTAAAAAGTCCCAGAAGAAAGACCGATTTCTCTCTTAGTTCACACAAGGCAAGAACTCCTTGGCTCTCCGGAGCCTCCGTCTTCCTCTACACTGAAAAGCTGCCAAAAGGTGAAGATTGGATTTCCCCGGGGTCAGACCTCACTCTCCAGGGCTGGCTCCGCATCTCTGGCCTGAATCCCTCTGACAATCGCCTCCTTGCCAACAGTCACACCTCTCTATTCCTTCCTCCACAGCAGCTGTAGAACCACCCAGCCTGTTCAGAGTGTCACCTGATCCTGTAACTGCGTGGAGAATGAGGGCATAAAAGGTGCAGTCTGTGCTCTCCAGGAATTCAGCAGGTGAAGGGGCTTTGACGGTCTAGCCCAGGGATCTCTGTCATGACAACACATCCTTCACGGGATGCCTGCACAACCAAGTTGTTTGTTTATGTTTATGTATTTAGTATGCACTAAGAAGTCAAAGGACAACTTGAAGAACTCGGTTATCTCCTCCTACCATGTGGATTCCAGGCAGAGTTGGAACTTAGATTGTCAGACTTGGTGGCCCTTACCTGCTGGGCCACCTCGCCAGCTGACAAACTAGGTACTTTGTATCATACTTTGCATCATCTTACGTCCTTGCGACACATCCTGAAGTTTTATTATTATCTTTTCCCCTCTCTCTCTCTCTCTCTCTCTCTCTCTCTCTCTCTCTCTTTCTCTCTCTCTCTCTCTCTCGTGTCTATCTGTGTGTGAGACAAATCAGGGGCTCTGTTCTACCACAGAGGCACACTCTCAGTCCTGTATCTATTTTGTTTGTTGTTTGTTTGAGACAGGGTCTCACTACATAGCCCCAGATGTCCTGGAACTTGTTCTGTACTCCAGGCTGGCCTTGAACTCCCAGAGATCCGCCTGCCTCTTCCCTCCGAGTGCTAAAGTTAAAGGCATATGTCACCACCACCACCACCACAGTTCTGTATCCATTTTTAAAGAAGACATTAAAGCTCAGAAAATTCATATAACTTTCCCAAGCTATAGCTTATACACAGCAACATCTGAATGTCAGTTCAAAGCCCTGGGTTTCCCTATGCACTAAATTGCCTTTGACCTCACCTACCGCAAATGTTTGTGACTTCCCATGGCCAATGGACTAAAACCCATTCTCTTTAGTGTGGCCTCTGGGGCCTCTCCTGTTATGCTCACACTGGGCCAGCATTCCCAGGCTTTCCTATATTCAGAGGCTTAGATTGCTCTCTAATCTAGGGTATCTCACAACCATTCAGACCCACCTCCTTCCAACTCCCAGCTCGAGAGTCTTCTGCCGGGACTCCCCTGTGTTCACACAGCACTGTGGCCCTGTGTTCACACAGCACTGTGGCCCTGTGTTCACACAGCACTGTGGTAGACTTGCCCTGACCCAGGCCAGTCTCTCCCATATCAGATATAGGGGTGTGCAGAGACACAGATCAAGTTGACATTTATGATGCACTCCTCACAGGGCCAACACTCAGTTATCAATGGGGCTAGGACCGTAATACTGACAGTATTTTGGACACAATCTTGATGCCAAAAATGGCTATTTAGATTCATTCAACCGAAAAACCTGAAAGCTTCATGTAGACCAGGTTGACCACAAACCATGAATTATGACTCTCCTGTCCTTATCTCCTGGGTGCTGGGATCATACGTGTACATCACCAAGTCCAGATGCTGAAGTGTTGGGGGGTCAAACCTGGAGCTTCACGCACGTGAGACCCTTAACCAACTCAGTCTCGTCCCAGCTCCATCCAATCGACGCTTCTTGAGCACCTCTAGTCAGTCGAGATTCCCATTGCAAACAGCATAACAATTCAGCATGATCTGAATGGAAACCCACGGAAGAGATTCGCAGTATCCGTGGGTAGAAGCAAAGTGAGTACTGGAACACCCAGGCAGGCACCCAGGAGTCCTTGGTAGCTGGAGCTCCGGCTAGCTGACACTGTACTCAGAGAATCCATGCAGAATGCCACCACAGATGTCTATTCATGCCTCTGGGCACGTTTTCTCTAAATGACCCCTCTGTTACCCCTGGAAGTTTAGATGGATCCGGCTCTCTGAGTTCACAATCTAAACTAGGTCACATGTCCTTGAGTATCCCTCTGAAGAATGGGAGACAGTTCTTCTCCACCCTAACCCCAAGACTGGAAGGAAAAGCCATGGAAACTAGTAAGGGGCTGCAGTGCTGGGCAGCCAATATTTTACACACACACACACACACACCAACACCAACAGCAACAACAACAATAACAACGATGACTCGCATTTTAGAGACGGGATGAGAAGGAACCTTAGAGATCACCTGTTAGAATATCTCCCAAAATGTAATCAATGGAATGATAGGCAGTCAGGATATGAGAAGGGTTCAGGAGTCAAATAAGTCGTTTGAGAAACACTGCTATGAACGTCTTTAAACCCATCAGAGCTTCTACTGTGCACTGTGCCTACACAGGGATGAGTGACATCCTTGGCTCTCATGATCACACAATCCTTTTCTTGAAGAGTGCTCTACAGGACTAAATCCAGTAGGCCATGTTGAAGGAAACCCAAGAAACCTATCCTTCACTATCAGACAGGGAAAGTGAGGGGCTTTCCTGTCCTCATGGCCTCTAACAGGCAACCCAGGACTCATGGAAATGACCAGTTCCCAGCAAGCGTCAGAGAGATGGAGGTCAGGACCTGGGCCAGGGGACCAATCAGACCCTTCCTAGCTTGGCACTAAGTCTTTATTCTGCCTGCTGACCCAAGCACCCTCCAGGAGCAGCTAGACAATACATACACTCTGTGCCTGCAGGTCTCACTTCCCTCCTCAGGGAAACCCCCACCAGCACAGAGGGACAATATCATGAGAAACACTGGGAAACAGGACAAGATCTTCAGCTGCCCCCAGAAGCCAGAAGCATACCCAGCAGTTTGCAGGTGTTCAGTCCCCCAATACGGAGTGGGGTGCAGATGCCGATTGTTAGTTCTTCCACACATCTGGGTGACCTTGGAGAAAGATACATTCTCTCAGCCTTGGTTTCTTCAGCCGGTTGACTCAGTTCCTATAAACATTCAATAAAATATTAAGCATTCTTTAGATGTACAGTTATTATCATATTGGACATAAAATAGAAGCAACACTTTTCCTACTTAAGACCTAGAAAGACTTTCAAGTAGATCACTTAACACACACACACACAAAATTATATACATTCATTCAGACATGCATACATATACACTAGTACTCACATACATACACACACAGTCGCATACAGCCACATGTGACACACACATACTATACATACACACACACACACACATACACCCACACACTTGTGCATACACACATCATGACATCTTGTCTCTTCATCTCTATAATCTTCCTCTGATGGTCCAGGCTTCGTGGCATAGGCATGTCTATCTTTCTCTGGTGAATTTCTATTCTTTCTTCACAATCTTTAGAGCTGTCACCTCTTCAGGGAACTCCCCCCAGACTCTCCTCTCCTCAGGCTCGGGCAAGTGTCTGCTTTTCACACTGACTCTTAAACTTCATCACTTAGGCACCTAGGCCAAAATGTCTCTCACTTGGTTGCACACTCTTGGCTTCCAATAGTCTGTGACTTAAGAGCCGTCAGTCATCTGTGAGCTGACGCTGTGGCATATGCCGAATGGATAAACTCAAAATCCAGCTTACTAAGGGCATCTCCCCTTACTAAGGGCAGCCTCAGGCTTTGCCTTCTGTCAACTCTCAAAGCAAACTCCACATGCTCATCATTTCCCCTAAAGAAAGCACCCTGTACACAGCCTCCGAGCACTGAAGATTTTGTAAGGACGGAAGAGATGCACACCACGCAGCCTCCAAATGCTTATGGGATGTGTTTATTT